TCAGCCTATGAGATACTTTTTTTTTTTTTTTTTTTTTAGCTTCTTTGTGGTTTATTCTCTATTATTTTTTAAAATATATTTTATTGATTTTTTTTGCCCCCCTCCCTCCCTCCCATACATACCCTCCCTCCCAGAGTTTTATGTCCATTGGTTGTACTTATATGCATGTACACAAGTCCTTCGGTTGATCTATTATCTCCCCTAGATCTTCCCTATGAGATTCTTTTTTTAAAAAAATATATATATATATTTTATTGATTTTGTACAGAGAGGAAGGGAGAGAGATAGAGAGTTAGAAACATCGATGAGAGAGAGTCATCGATCAGCTGCCTCTTGCACACCCTCTACTGGGGATGTGCCCGCAACCAAGGCACATGCCCTTGACCGGAATCGAACCCGGGACCCTTCAGTCCCCAAGCTGACGCTCTATCCATTGAGCCAAACCGGTCCCGGCCCTATGAGATACTTTTAAATAAACTGTAATATGGCAATTGAGCTGAGCTTTAAGCATTTTAATTATGTTTTCCCTGGATTATTTGTTCAAAGTTGACAATTTGAAAAGTAAAGAAAAGCACACACACAAAAAAGCACATGTACTGGTAATTTCCCTACCAGGAGAGAACCATTATTAATATTTTAGTATATTCTTTCTTACATGCTTTTCATTTTTCCTTTAAAGTAGACTAAAGCATCTGGCCAGTGTGGCTCAGTGGTTGAGCACCGACCAATGAACAAAAAGGCCCTTGGTTCGATTCCCAGTTGGGGCACATGCCTTGGTTATGGGCTTGAACCCCAGTAGGGGGCATATGGAAGATGGCTGATGGATATTTCCTTCTCATTGATGTTTCTATCTCTCTATCCCTCTCTCTCTATCAAATCAATAAACACATGTATTTAAAAAGAAATAAATAAAGTAGCCTAAAGCAATACATACATGCATGTGGCAAAAAATTGAAACAATAGAGAAATGCACAGAACTGAAAAAGGTTGTCAATCAAGTTCACTGTCATCAATTCAATGCCAAGAGGACACCCAAATGTGGGGTGCAGTGAAGAGAGACTTTATTCAAGTGAAGCAGCTGAGGTGTTACAGTACCTGTTACAGTCCACGCAAGGGAAATGTGGCTGAAAGTGTCCTCTGCTGGACTCAGGGGAAGCTGACTTACATAGAGAGAGGTTCCTGCCCATAGTTCAATTGGCATTTCTATGCAAATGAGGATTCCGAATCCAAACTGTTTGATTGGTCTCAATAGCACTGTTGTGATGGATGAGAATTGCCCATTCTGAGTGACAATTATTGAGTTGCTCAGATTAGTCTGTAAAGATGAAAATGAGGGTATAACTGCATAGCTCCAATTGAAATGGGAAGGTCTGAGTCTCATGGGTCCAAATGTAATACCAGGAGCTATTTATTTTTAAAATATATTTCTATTGATTTCAGAGAGGAAAGGAGAGGACGAGAGAAACAGAGACATCAATGATGAGAGGGAATCATTGATTGGCTGCCTCCTGCATGTTGAACTGAGCCTGCAACCAAGGCATGTGCCCTTGACTGGAATCGAACCTGGGATCCTTCAGACCACAGGCCGACGCTCTATCCACTGAGCCAAACTGGCTAGGGCCAGGAGCTATTTTATAAGGCTCAGCTCAGATGGCAGGAACACAGTGCCAGAGGCTTAGCAGCCCAGTCTGCAGCTTTTCCCTGAAATGTGCATGAAAGGCCCCTATAAACAACAGCTAGCTACTAGACCCTGGTTATAAATTTGGGCCCAGTTAACCCTTATGGTTCTCCTTATGAGTTCTTTTTTTATTTTTTACCTTTTCTTACAACTTTTTAATGAGTGCCCATTGCATGGAATAAAGTCCAAATTCTAGAGCAGTGTAAATGTGGCTCTTTAAGAACTGACAGACATTTTCTACAATTCCTTACATGCACAATACATTCCAACCTTACTAAATTAATTTAAAAATTTGAATTTACCATGGTGTTTTATCTATCTTGTTTTGTATATAAGCTGTTCTCTAAGCCTAAAATATACTTTCATTGAAGATTTCTTATCTTATCTCAGTTCAATTAATGTATCCTCAGGCTATTACATTTATTAAACACTATTAAAAACTACCTTACAGCCAAATCGGTTTGGCTCAGTGGATAGAGCACATGTGTCAAACACAAGGCCCACGGGCCAAATCCGTCCCGCCAGGCCTTGCAATGTGGCCCGCACTGCGCTGTCATCACTGCACTCCGCTGCGTTTCCATCACAATGACAGTTTATGACTGTTCAGTAAACCATTCGGCCCGCGATTTAGGCTGGATTTTAGATTTTGGCCTCTTCTCTGATTGAGTTCGACACCCCTAGGATAGAGGGTCAGCCTGCGGACTGAAAGGTCCCAGGTTCGATTCCAGTCAAGGGCATGTACCTTGGTTGGAGGCACATCTCCAGTAGGGGGTGTGCAGGAGGCTGCTGACTGATGTTTCTAACTATCGCTCTCCCTTCCACTCATTAAAAAAAAAAAAAAAAAAAAAATCAATAAAATAGATTTAAAAAAACACAAAAAAAACTACCTTACAGTCATTTTTATTTTTATTTTTTTATTATTATTTTTTTAAATATATTTTTTGATTGATTTTATACAGAGAGGAAGGGAGAGAAATAGGGAGTTAGAAACATCGATGAGAGAGAGTCATCAATCAGCTGCCTCCTGCACACCCCCCACTGGGGATATGCCTGCAACCAAGGCACATGCCCCTGACCGGAATCGAACCCGGGACCCTTCAGTCCCCAAGCCGACTCTCTATCCATTGAGCCAAACCGGTCCCGGCGTTATAGTCATTTTTAAAAGATGCCCATCTTTTTTCTTAAATCGAGTTGCTTGAGGGCAAGGACTATATATAAATCTTCATAATATCTCCCATGCCTTGCTTATTGTATTTGTTCAATTAATGCTGATTGGGTGAGTGAACATTTTTTTTTTCTTTTTGAGAATATTATAAGGTTTTTCCTTTAATTGTTTATTTGAAGATTTCAGAGATTTCTAGACAGGTTGGCTCTTTGTAATTTGCTTTTTTTTACTCAATGTTCATTTCAAGATTTATCCATGTTGATATAAGTGCTTATATTAATATTTGCTTATTTTAATCTCTGTATTACTCCATAAGGAGTCCTTTTAAACAGATAAATTATTCCTTCTCATTCATTCTTGGGGTCAATGACATAAGAGGTTCACTCCCCCAAATGTATGTTGAAATAAATTTCCAAGTTCAAGATGGAGTTGTTCCTAGCCTGTCGGGTATGGCTTAGTTGGTTGAGCGTTGTTAGATGCACGGAAAAGTCTCCTGTTTGATTCCCTTTCAGGGTACACACCCAGATTGTGGTTTCAATCCCAGTCAGGGTGCATGTGGGAAGCAGCCGACAGATGTTTCTCTCTCACTTTCTCCCTTTCGCTTTCTCTCTCTCTCAAATCAATAAAAACATTAAAAAAAGATGGAGTTGCTCCTGCCAGAGTGTCACCTCAGCAAAGTGAAGTTTTCTGTCCTGTAAAAGCTCTGCTTCACAGAAACCCAGTCATCCAATTACGAAGGCCACAGAACTCTGGGCTCTTCTTTGTTCATTCATCTTTATAAAGTCAGATAATCAACCTCAGAAAACCATGCCATGTTTCTGCTTTGCTATTTCTAATGCTATATAAAAGTTGCTCTTGCCTGAAATCCTTCAAGAATGCTTCACTGCCTGTGAGGTCCTGTATTCCTCCTCTGTGCATTGTTTTCCCTTGAATAAGGACATCAAACTCATTACTAAATTGTTTTCGTTTTGTTATTTGACAGGTAACTTATAGGTACTTTATGAATCTCTCTGGAATTCAGAACTAATTCAAAATGATGCATCAGGGGAAAATATACAAAAAACAAAATAATACACCAAATTGCCTTCACATGTACCTATTTCTCTTAAAACGTACACACACACACACACACACACACACACACACATACACACACAATCACATTATCTAGTGTTCTGCACCTCACTTTCCCTAACAGCCCAGAGAAATCTCCCCCGTTCTTAGTAGAGCTGGTCCATTGCCTGCACAACTGATATAATATGATCAGAGGGGATTGCTTCTCCACCTTTTGGGTAAAATCAAGTGTAATAGGTTGGAGACAAGCCATTTCAGAATGAGGGTAATCTGTGGCCCAGATTAGGATGGGCGAGCGAGAAACAAATGGGGTAGGCCAATTTGGTTGGCATGTGTAGAGTATTAGTGAGATGATGGGGTCAGACAATGGGTATTTAGGCCCGTATTTTAGACTTCCTTTACTTTTGCAATGGAGAGTAATAAATTGGACCGGGTGAGATAAAGGGTTGTCTGAGGATGGGCTTGACAGGCTAAGGGAAATTGTCCAGGAGGGAACTGACATTCCAGTCTGGAACTGCGAAGGAATCTGAGGTTGGAAAAACCGCAAGGCTGTCTCTTCGCTCCCAAATAACTCATTTCTTATTCACTAGGCGCTTCTCCTTATTCCTAGGCCCGAGGCTAGGGCAGATGGTTCCCGAGCCCGCCGCCAGCGGAAACCCCTCCTTCCCTCCCTCCCCGCCCTAGCGCAGCGGGAATTCCAAGATATGGGCGGTCCTTCCATTAGGCGCTCCGAGGAGCAGAGATAGGATAGGGCGGCCGCCAATCAGACCTCCCGGGTACCCGGATGTGAAGCAGTGCGCGGTACAAAGGCGAGTTTCCACCCGGCTCTTCCTCAGGTACAGTGGCCAATAAGCATGACTCATGAGGTGAGTGACAGGAAAAAGAACCAGTTACAAACTGGTTCCTCTCACGCATGTGGAAATTCTTCCGCTTAGCCCAACCCACTGCTTGTTGTGATTGGACAGAATTGTGAGGAGCGGTAGAATTGTCTAATTAGAAGCGGGAGCGAGAAAAATCGCAACCAATAGGAAGATTCTCAGTAGTGGGGCGGGGACTAGGCCTTCTCCTCGGCGGCAGAGGAGACTCGGGGGCCATTTTGTGAAGAGACGAAGGCTGAGCGGTCGCAGCCGTGTTGCTGACCTCGATCAGTAGTCGGCTTCTCCACGTAGCACCCGGGAGTAGGAGATTCAGAAGAGTCTCCCTTTTCCCTTCAGGTGAGTAGAGGAGATAGAAGCAGGGGGAGGCGCTGGGTTCCTCGGTGAGCGCGAGGGGATGTGGGAGAGATGACGAGGGAACCCTTCTCTCGTTAACTAGGCCCCCATTTATTCTCTTCAGCAGCGGGGGATGAGGTCCTCTGCGGGAGAGAGGTTTGTAGGCCTCAGCCCTCGTGTAGATTTAACCTGGTGTCCTCTAGGCCACCATCAGCAGCGGAAGTGTTCTTTTTCCTTTCTCTTTCTGTGCTAACGGCTGCTTTCCTTTCATTTTTTACGACCATGAGGTCTCCAAGAGGGATCGTGAAAGGGAAGATCTGAGATGCTCGTTAATATCGTTGAAGTTCGTGTAGTGCTGGTGCCTCTTGTTAAATTTAAAAATAGGGCGGGGTTGGGGGGAAGGATTACCACCAGGTAGACATTTTACCGCGTGTCTCTCAATTCTGGAGCGTGCCGCAGGGCATAAGGATAATAAATATAACAATAGCTTTATTATTTTATAGATTACTTATATTTTTCTCTCTGAGAAAATGGACCACGGAGTATTTACTTTCATTTTTTTTAAAAAGAATGTAATCATATATTAACTACTAATTAAAGCTGACTTTTTATCTGCAGGTTATAAATCACTTGAAATATAAGTTAGTGGAATTTTCCTTGAGGTAGGTATTACTGTCTTTTGGGAAGAAATAGAGGCATAAGAATGTTGGTTGCCAGGGTTAAAGGGAATCAGGAGCAGAACTAGTAAGGAATTTAACCACTAGGTTAAGTCAAGTGGTTTTTATCTAGCTTTAGGGATAACAGGCACTCAGTACTGGATTTGAATCGTTACAAAAACCTAATTACAGCATCCACTAGCAGTAACTGGAGCTTCTCAAACTGCACTTGGGAGAAATATTTAGGAGTGCATTTTTTACTAACACAATGTTCCAAGATGATAAAGTCTAATTTTCAGGATATTCTGGCATTAGTTTTCCAGACCATCTAAACTGGCAAGATTCATAACTACTTACTTTTAAAGCAAGTATCAATGAGCCTACTAATTGCCAGGTCCTGAACTTTATTAAAAATTTTTAAGTTTATAAAAAAGATATTTCTAAGTAGTACCACATTGCCTTATCCAAGAAATCCCTATTTAGGGGATGAGGCGGGCTAGAAGGGGTCATTTAGGGGAAAAGGAACATCTGTAATACTTTAAACACGAGATTAAAAAAAAACACCACAAATTGCTATTTATATGTGTAATTGATTTTAATTTCCATAATAATGTGTTAATCGTATAAACCAGTACTGCAAGGTAAATTTATTCCTTAAGAAACCTACTTGGTAAGGAAGTAAAAGTACTCTTATTCTAGATACCCTTGCATTTGTTGATTCCTCGTCATTGTAGATAATGTAATAGGAATCAAAATCATTTTTTAAGCCTAATTATTTAATACATGGGCTTAAAACTAAAGTTTATTACTGCAGAATTGTTAGAAATGAGTTAAGGGCGGTAATTGCTTAAATTAGTAGGTAAAAATCATTTACCTACTAAAATATTGTTGGCAAATAAATGTCAGGAATTAATATTTAAGAGCAGTTATTTGTGAATTGAAGTCAATTGAAGAGCACTAGATGTGTTAGATCAAAATGTACCAAGATAACAATTATTTGAGTTAATGTTCATCTAGAATGATTTAGCTATAGAATTAATATCTGAACTATTCATTTTTTTTCAAATACGTAGGTATTAGAGCATTTATATATTTGCTAGAGAGGAAGGGTTTACGAAGGGTGACTAAATTGCAGATCTGACCTTTTTGTTTCCTATACTGTTGACACAGGAATGCTTGGTGGTGGTTGCTATTCTTTTGGTAGAGACTTTAAACATTGCTTATATTTTTAATTAGGTCTCTAGAGAGTTTCACATAGCAGGCAACCAACTTTGTTTTGGATGGAGCTCCTGTTAGAAACAAGCAAGCAAGGAATAAGCTCCAAAATAGCTAGTTATTTAAATCTTTTTTTAAAAACATTTTTTATTGATTTTTCACAGAGAGGAAGGAAGAGGGATAGAGAGCTAGAAATGTCAATGAGAGAGAAACATAGACCAGATGCCTCTTGCACACCCCCTACTGGGGATGTGCCCACAACCAAGGTACATGCCCTTGACCGGAATCAAACCTAGGACCTTTTAGTCCACAGACCAAACCGGTTTAGTCCACTGAGCCAAACCGGTTTTGGCTAGTTATTTAAATCTTAAAGATTATTTTAACTGGTGAAATTGTGAGATATTAATTAACTGGAGAGTGTAACAGTTGAAGAAATTTTAGCCTAGGAATTATGAGAACTGGATTTTACATCCCCTACCCCAATGCTATTGTTATCTGTGTCAGGCACGTGAGTTAAATGATTTAGATATTAGTTAAACACATAATGAGTTATAGAAATAAAATTGAAGTCTAATCATTTGTTTCTAGAAGTTTTGAGAAGATACAGAAATAGTTTTACGATTAGAAGCAGTTTTTGTATATCATTAATGTGAACTGCCTTTAATGAAAGTATTTTAGTCTTCTAAGTAATTTTTCTAAGTTTTTATTGATTTAATAGAGGAAGGGAGAGGGATTGAGTGATAGAAACATCAATGATGAAGAATCATTGATGGGCTGCCTCCTGCATGCCCCATACTGGGGATGGAGCCCACAACCTGGGCCTGCGCCCTGAAAAAATAGGTTTTATTTTTTAATCCCATATAATAGGTTTTGGGATTCTGTGTGGATAAAAGCTATTTTTATCCACGCAGATAAAAAAAACCTCCTGGTTCATAGGTCAATGCTCAGCCACTGAGCCATACCTGCCAGGCAAGTAATTTTTTTAGTTGTGGGCTTTTGGGACAACTTTGTATTTGCTCATACTTAATGTGTATACTCATTCATTCTCATTGGGATCAGGGAAGATTATGGTTTTGTACATAATTAGATATACTAGAGCAGTGGTTGGCAAACTGCGGCTCGAGAGCCACATTCGGCTCTGGCCCCTTGAGTGTGGCTCTTCCACAAAATACCACGTGCGCTGTGTGCGATTGAGACGTTGTGGCTCATGCGCAGAAGTCAGTTTCTGGCTCTCAAAAGAAATTTCAATCATCTGTTGATACATGGTTCTGCTGACTAATGAGTTTGCCGACCACTGTACTAGAGAATTGACTGGTGAGAACCAGAAAGACTAGATATAGCATAACTGCTTGTGTTATCTAAGATACTGGAAATGTGGACGCTATAAAGAATAAGGATTACTATTGGGCTGTTTTTTAAAATTCCAAGTATAACTTATAGTTAGATATTTTTTATATAATATCAGGAACACAGTCAAAGCCTTACTGCTTAAACCTGTTGTCAGTACACTGGAAGGATGAGGCATTTTATTTATAAAGAATTTATCTTAACTAGGGGAATAGTGGTTCCTCATTAAATTCTTCACAGTCCCTAACCTTGAGCTGACATCAGAATCAGCAAGACGGCTAGTTAAAACATTGCTAGGCTCTCTAGCCCCAGAGTTTATAATTAAGTCAGACTGGAGTGGGTTCCATCATTTGCATTCCTAATAAGTGCCATGTGATACCAGTTGTCGGACCTCCCTTCGAGAATTACCCCTATAGAAGGGATCCAAACCATTCAGGATTGTCAAAGTACAGTATAATTTAGCGATACTATTTATTACAAAGTGTTGGAATTAGGAGCTAAAATAGTGTTTTTGTGTGTTTTTTTTATGAATGATAGCTACTTAGTTTATAACATCTTGGGAGATATCTTTGAAAGATATCTTAATAGCTTTTTAAGTTTTTTGTCTTTTAAAAAATGTTTTTATTGATTTCAGAGTAAGGGAGAGGGAGAGAAAAGAGAAACATCAGTGAATAGAAACATTAGTGATGATAAGCTGCCTTCTGCAGGACCCCAACTGGGGATTGAGTCTACAATCAATCCAAATACCCCAACCTGGAATTGAACAGTGACCTGGTTCATAGGTCAATACTTAACCATGGAGCCACATTGGCTGGTCAAGATTATGTCTTTTGACACATGTGCAAAAGATTTGTTTAGAGATGAGCCACAAAGTTATTTAACATACCCTGGAAATTTTAAGTACCAGATTCAGGCTATGACTTTAAGAAATAAAAATTGATTATACTTTCCAAACACTGAATCCAAGGAGATAACATGTAAAAGGATGTACATTTTTCTACAGCTTTTTCTGTAGTTTGTGCATTTGTACAAGTTTACACATCAAAACAAGTATTTCAGTAACTTACATGTCATGCCTAAACTGGTCTGCTTTAAAAAAATTTAGTTTAAATTTTAGGTTTACAGTACCTGTCCCATTGCTGTAGTATTCATATATACTTGACTTTGAACACTTTCAAAGTCAGTTTGATGAGAATAAAACATAACTGAATATTGAAATGTGAATGCAACTAGTCCATTCTTATTTCCTCAAAAGACCTACAGTCTTAATTGCAGATTCTGTTTTTGCTGTCATGTTTTTTTATGTTATATATAAGATTCTTTGAATTAGCTATATATACTTATAAATTAGTGACCACTAATTATAGACCACTGAAACAAACTTAAGGACCATAATTTTTCACCTGTTTTTATGGCATTAAGTATTCAGTAGCCATAATCTTTTCCTTCATCTTTGGTTTTTCATTCTGTCAGTGAATAAATAATGTGTTCCTTGTTTAAAGCATCTTTTCTTACTGTAGAACTTACCAGGTCTTGTGATTTGTTCACTTAATTGGTTTTGAGAATCGATGTTCCTCTCCTACGTATCTTCATGGTAGACCATTCTCCTTCAGTCTATATTACAGATAAAAACTACATGGACTTAAAATTTAAAAACCCATGAATTTGCTTACCTTCCTTAATCTTCCTTCATCCTTGAGATTTGCTCACTTCTTTACCCTCTGTTGGCTTGATATATATATAATTTTGACCAAACTGGTTAAGATAAAAGTTTGAACTTACACCTTTTTTGAGACCCTTAAGGGAATACATGCACTTATTTTGATAATTCTAGTTATCTACTAATGTTGAAGAATTGTGAAGAGAATCACTGCTAGAAGTGATTTCTTAGAGGCTCTCCCCATCCCAGTGGAATGTTATGCTTTACCAAAATGTGTTAGAAGCAATGGACAGATGTTTCTGTCTTGGGGGTTTAGGGCACAACATTTCTGAGGAACTCTGACTCAATCTGTCCCTTCTCCTTTCACAGGGCAGCAAGGCGAACCCCATCCCTACTCACTGGAGCTCAGCTTTGATTTTTAACCTCCCTTCCCCACCCTTCCAGAACACACACATTCCCATTCCAAAACTGATTTTATAAAGAGCATTTTAAAAATAACGATGCAACTTGGTGTGCACTACAGCAAATTTACAGGTTTTTTTTTTTTAATTGTTTCCAAATTCGGGACTTGGATTTAAGATGTAATTTTTAAAATTTCTATTTCTATTTTTTTTCTGCAGCAGTTGGGTTAGAGGAGGAGGAGCCTTTTAGCCTCTCAGAAACTGACCTCTCTATTTCCTCGTGTATTTTTAAGATTGATTGATGATGTGGAAAGGGCTTTGCTTGTCTGTTATTGAGAACTTTACCCTTGCGGTTTTTATGGAAACTGCTTTTGGAAAGAGAAAAGAAATGAACTTTACTGACTTGACATTTTTGCACCTCCCGTTTTTCTAATCTGGGCTATTTTTATTTTTGTTTTTTTACAGTGAGATTTTTTTGATCTTCAGCTACAGTAAGTTATTCCATTTTTTTTTACATTTTTCCTGACTTTCCGCTGATTTCCTTTTTATTGTTGTTACTAGTTACTATTATTTATTATTATTATACTTAATGATGGTGATGATAATGATGATAATGACTGATGATTTTTAACCGGATTAAAATGGAGTTTTTCTGAATGTTCATAAGATTTCTCCTGCCTCCTAATTGACTTTGGAGTTTTCCATCTTGGGAGAGAAAGCGAAGGCATTAGCATTTTTAAGTGGATTGATCACATAAACCTTTTCTCTCCCAACCCCCCCTTGCCCTCATCCCTTCCCCCACGCTCGAAAGAACTGGCTGTTAAGTCTGTGACGTTATTTTTCCTGATCTATAACTTAATTGTTTTAGAGCATCTCTGGACGTCTGTATTTTTAATTTTTTTATTTTTATTTTTTTTATTTTTAAATCTTTCATTTGTTAAATTTTTAAACTGTGCTGCAATAAAATGTGTGTGGTACTATTTAACACCTATGATGGTGATGGCATTTTCCCAGAAAGCCATCTTCCTCCTGTTCCCCTTGAAATCCCATCCTGCTTTTCCTGTACACTACCCCTCACAAACCACAAGCTGCAGCAACATGGATGCCCAGCCTGGAGCAACGGCAGCCAGGATGACCTGGAGCCAGGGGGGCCTTCGGAACAGATGCACACCCTTCCTGGGTGATGGTAAGAGGTGTAAGGTCCACTGGTTTCATTGTGAAGACTAGGAAATACACCAGTCCAAGTTTAGTTGATGGAGGTATAGGTGATACTTCTGGAAATGTTAGGTTAATCCTTTTGTTTGTTTCAAGAGATGTTTCCAAGGGAGGCCACTTAAATTTTTTGTAAACTAATGGAATTAGAAGTATCTACCGTATTTTTCGGACCATAAGACGCTCCGGACCATAAGACGCACCAGTTTTTAGAGAAGGGAAATGAAGAAAAAAAGATTCTGAAACAAATAGTGTCCTAAAATATTTTATGTGCATTAAAACCCAACATCACAGTCATAAACACATGTAATCAACCCTGTAAAGTAAACAGCATTTAGAACCATTTTAGAGCCGGGCAAGTAAAAAAACTTTTTTTTTAAAGTATATGTGTAGGCTATATTTGGACCATAAGACGCAGGGACTTTTCCCCCCCACTTCTGGGGGGGGAAAAGTGCGTCTTATGGTCCGAAAAATACGGTAGTTAACTTAGGCTTACTGGGAATTTTTTTTTTAAAATATATTTTATTGATTTTGTACAGAGAGGAAGGGAGAAAGATAGAGAGCTAGAAACATGGATGAGAGAGAGTCATCGACCAGCTGCCTCTTGCACACCCCCTACTGGGGATATGCCCGCAACCAAGGTACATGCCCTTGACCGGAATCGAACCTGGGACCTTTCAGTCCCCAAGCCGACGCTCTATCCATTAAGCCAAACCGGTCTCGGTGGGAATTTTTGATAAATGAAAAAAGCTGAAGTTTAAATATACTTTAGAATGAAAGGGCTTTTAAAAATACATATTTTTACCTGGGGATTGAGCCTGCATCCTGGGTATGTGCCCTTGACCAGAATTGAACTCTAGGCACCTTCAGTCCACAGGCCAACCAACCCTTTATCCACTGAGCCAAACCAGCTAGGATATCTTTTTTTTTAATAAACTTTTTTTTTTTTTTTTTTTTAGAGGAGAGAGAAATAGCAATTTGATGAATTTGTTGTTCCACTTATTTATGCATTCATTGGTTGCTTTTTATATGTGCCCTGATTAGCGATGGGAACTCCCATATCTTTGACAGATTGGGCGATGCTCCAACCAACTGAACTACCCAGCCAAGGCTAAAATGGCTTGTTTTAATAATTAGCAACAAAGCAGTTTTCTTTTTATTGCAAAGTAGTGAAAATTTTCTGACATTTGGAGTCATCTTCCTTGGGTTTGTGACAGCAATTTTGTGTTGTATTCTATTAACTTTTAATTAAAATTTAACATGAATCAAACCACAAGCTTGCTGTAATATTAAAATGCTATCTCATGGGAAGGTTTTTTAAAAAAACAAAGGGTAGGAAGGCTTTTTAACCTTTAAACGGGGAAATCTGTTTAATCTTTGTATCCAAATTAGAGAAAATCAAGGGTTGACCTCTTTTTCAATGATGATTTATGGCCTAGTTAGATGTTGGGAAAGAAAGTATTCTCAAGGGTAATAAGGAAGGAATGAATCTGCTCTATTCACAGGAATAATACAGAGATTAATAAGGATATAAATAGCCAAAGAATTTTTAAAAGTTTGCAACCTGTAATATTTTACCAACAGTGCAATATTTTGATAACTAATTGTAATAGTTTTGTGCTGGGGCAAAAAGGATGCTTTTTAAAGGTATATTCATTGCTGTGTTAGGATAAATCACATGCTAGACCCCTTCCCTTACTTGTACTGGAAATGGTAAAGTCTAGTTAAAGTGAACACTAAAGGTAGCCTTAAAGGAAAACAGAATGGAAAAAGGTTAAATAATGTCATAAGGTTATCTAGAAAATGAATGGAAGATTTTCTTTCTCTAAGATCAAGTTTTATTAATGCTCTTTATTCTATGAAATCTATTTCTACTATGTTCTCTTATTGTCATTGTATGGCTGCTGTTCACTAGAGGTTCAGTTAAATTTATTCCTTACTAATTTTACAATCCATTATTTTATGGATCGTGTTCTGGTTTTGAGGAAACAAGTTATACTTCAGGGACTCAGCCTAGGGAGGTAGACATAAATGAAAATATGTCATGTAATTAGAGGTAAGTACAGAACCTAAAGAAGCATGCAAAAATGGGTACCTAATTAAGTAGTCAGGAAATGCTTCTAAGAGAAAGGGAGTTGAAATTAATTTTAGAGGAGGCCAGATGGTAAACATTTTAATGCTGTGCCAAGGAGTTTGTATTTTATCCAGAAACTAGTGGTGAGCTCCTGAAATACTTTAAACTGGGCAGCGATGTTAGATTTACCTTAGAAATGATTTAGAAGATAAGGAAGATATTAAACCACAAGGAATAAGAATGGCTTGACCTGGTCAAAGGCAATGGTATTGGGATTAGAGAGGAGGTAAATTTAGGAGCATCTAGTGATAGTTGTGATATGAAGAATGAGAGGGATTTGGAGTGACCTCTAGGATTCTAGCTTCTGGGATGAGGATAGTTAAACATTAAAAGGATTAGGGATTGAGAGTAGCAGAAAGAATAATTTAAACATAGATCTTTGAGATGCTGTGGAACATTCAAGTGGGTATTTTATTCATTAAACATTTGGATAATTCTGAAAATCACCTCTAGGCATATAGAGATGAACAAAACAACTGTTTGAGGTATTATAGACTACTAAGAGTCTGGATGTGGACCTCAAGTCTAATTAGTATATTAAGCTTTTATTACTATAGATTGAGAGAAATAAAGTAAACATATAGCAATTTTGCAATCTAGATCCATGAAATGAAAAAACAGGATGAGAAGGTAAGGGGACTAAGTTTACAATGTGGAAGTATGAGCCTGATGCTAGTGAAATTTATGTCTGTACATGGATTATCATATCTGAAAGAAGATAATTGGGAGTAATTGGAAACTAGGCCTTAAAGCAAGAAATACTACTGGAGAACAGAATAGTCACTAAGAATGCATAGGATAAGCCTTAGCTAGTTTGACATTGGACTGAAAGGCCTGGGTTTCATTCTGGTCAAGGGCATGTGCCCGGGTTGTGGGCTCTATTCCCAATATTCCCAATAGTGATTCTCTCATTTTAGATGTTTCTATATCCCTCTGCCTTCCTCTGGAATTAATAAAAATATATTTTAAAAAAAGGAATGCAAAGGATAGATAAAATTCGGAAAGTATACCACTACTAACCATAGAATACAGGTCCTTTTTGGGTCATGTTTAAGATCTTGAAGTAGAACCTGAATTTCTTTCTTTTGGATGTAATTATCTGGAGGTTTAATGTGTTCACCACTGTTAACTTTCTTGTGTTACATACTCTTCATCATAACCTTCTGTAAATATTCATATTTTACTTTTTAAAAATATATATATATTTTATTTTAGAGAGGAAAACGGGCAGAGAGAAAGAAACATCAATGATAAGAGAGAATCATTGATTGGCTGCCTCCTGCACATTTCCTACTGGGGATCGAGCCCGCAACCTGGGCATGTGCCCTTTCCCAGAACCTGGGACCTTTCAGTCCACATACTGACACTATCCACTGAGCCAAACCAACTAGGGCACAATATTCATATTTTAGAGATGAGAATATTGAAGCACATAATTTAAATAATTGTCTAATAAATAGAGAAACATGAATTCAACCCAGATAGTTAACCCTGAAGATTTCTATTAAAAATTACATATATATAATTTTTTATATATTATATATTAATATATATATGATTTTAGGGGGGGGGGGAATGAAGGGAGAGGTGAGGGAGAAAGAACCCGAAGCCTGAGTATTTGCCCTTATGGAACCAAGCCCACCACCTTCTGTGTAGGAGATGATGCCCCAACCAATTGAGCCACACTGTCCAGGGCGATTTCAATCTTAATCATACTAAACTGACTACTTAATATGTTAAGTATACAGTAAAAAAA